AAAAAAATGAAAATATAATAAAAAACATACTCTATACACACTGAAGAATTACTTAAATTATATCGTCACAGCGAGTTCAGAATACCGTACCGTACGCAACCAGCAAAACGATCCATGTTCTGCTTAGAGTGCGCGCACGCAAGTCACGTTACGGACGTCGATGACGCACCGCAGACACGCGCAATGGTAACCGGAAGCATCGTTGAGAGGAAAATAAAAATCGATCAAAACCCCAGTTGGTCTTGAGGGTAATTTTCACCAGATGTCAATTCTCCGCCGTAGATTCGCATTCGATTGCCCTTAACACTACTGTCGTCGGAAGAAACGGTAGCGTGCAGGAAAAAAACTGCCCCGTTTGACCGAAGTTGCTCGCTAACTGGTTTAGCTGACGTGGGGAGAAGTTGAGACTGCCAGAGAGCAGAGGGACAAACACAAACAAGCTGGGATCAGCTGAGCGCCTGTCCGAACCGAACCAGCGGCGCGGGGACATGTCACGGAGTGCGACTTTGCTCTTCCGAGCCCAAGAATGATCCACGGGACACGGTGACTTCCACTGAAACTAGCTCCATGTAGACTATCAACAGTGGCAACACAAAGAATTTCGGCAGCACCACACGAGGATCAGCCATAAGCAGGAGAAGAACATCCACGGCTCATGTCACCACTGTGTGTCACTTTAGCCAAGCACTACCAATGACTTTGTTGTCCAGTTCTCTGCTGTAACCTCACGAATACATATTACGTTGCAGGAAGACAGGTAAACGCTCCTTTTCTTTACTTGGCTTTTTGTTTGCACCAGGGAATCGAACCCAAGTCCCTAGATAGCTTTTCACAGTACACGACGTTGTACATTGTGAGAAATTCTTGCACATTTTGCCGTCATGTATTTCTTTCCAGTCGCGTGCCATAGCCATATATCTTACATGTCGCAGCACACCCCCCCAAAAATAATCTCACAAAAAGTATTCTTTATATATAATAAATAATGATGTGGTGTGGTGGTCGTTGAAAGATATTTTAAATTGTGGGTGGCGAAGGGGGGAAACAAAACATAAAATAGCCTTAACGTTTTGGTCTTCTCCGGACTTTTCTCTATTCCCACTGGTGTCAGAAGTGGGATGAGCATGGCCCACCAAGCAACCCCTAGTTCTCAGAAGGCCCTGATGATGGAGTTGAAGTCGCTGCAGGAGCAGCCAGTGGAGGGCTTCCGCATCACTCTGGTTCATGAGTCGGATCTCTACAATTGGGAAGTGGCCATCTTTGGGCCCCCGAACACCCTGTATGAGGGAGGCTACTTTAAGGTAGGAAACATTTGTTGCTACAAGTATGGACTAGTTGGTAACATGTCTGACACACGGTCCTGAGTTTTGGGGCTTGATTCTCGGCTCCTCAGTGTGTGGGGTTTGCATATACTGTACTTTGGCTTCCTCACACATTTTGTAAACATGCTTGCAAGGTTAATTGAAAATTCTAAATAGTCCGTAGGTATG